TGTGGGACAAATCGATTCAGTCTCTAGACAAACCAATTTGCCAGACACTAAGTACAAGGCTTTCTCTGTCTTGGTGGCTAAGGTATCCAATTTTGGAGTCGGGGAAATCCCCATATTTGATATCTTGGAATATCATCACAGCGGGCCACATTCTGGTGATTGAGAACTGGGATTGTGTTGTCTGTACAACTCTGGACATCTTGACTGGAAGGTCTTTTAATAAGGATCCAGTCAAGCAATGCCACAGCAGTGGTGTACATCAACCACAAGGAGAAACCAAAAGTCTTGCCATGGCAAAATAAGTAAAAAGGTTCCTGTTGTGGGAAGAACAGCACATCCAGTTTTGTGCACCATTCATATTGCAGGCATGGATAATTGGCAGGCAGACTCTCTCATCTGGCAGCACCTGGCCCCAGGGAAATTGTCCCTACTATTTGAAGTATTTCAGAACCTGTGACACCTGTGTGGCCGATTCCCATACTACTTCATGGTCCTTGACTTTAACAATATGGCTGTTGAAGCCCACACGTTGAAGGACAGGGGCATCTCCGACACTGTGATCCCCATGATCTTAAAAGCCAGGAAGTCCACTTGGTGCTGCGTTCCTTGTCGCCATTTCCTCCACAAGGTGTGTGTCCTGTAGAGAAGCTTATCTTGTCTTGTCTTACACAAGGAAAAGGAGGAATTCAGGCCTAGAGCCTTCTTCCTTCCCATGTAGTTTCAACCACCTTGCTGAGGACATTGTGCCTCCATCTCTCGGTCTAGTCCTAGTACATCTAGTACATCAGAATGAGATTTCTCTTCATTGTTTGGATGTAGTTTGCGCTCTTCATGTCTACTTTGCAGTAACTGCTTCTATTAGAAAGACTGACACTTTGTTATCCCTCATGGCCTTCTCAAAAGGGAACCAGCTTCTTGTTTCACCATTTCTAGGTAGCTCAGACAAATCTTCATCCAAGCTTATGGTCTTAAGGATCAGGTTCCACCCATTCCTGTCAAGACACACTCTACTAGATCTGTGAGTGCTTCTTGGGCTTTCGGCATCAGGCAACTGTTTTCCAAGGTTTCCACCTGGTCTTCTGTTCACACACTCTCTTAAGTTCTACCAGGTAGATTTCAGGCCTCAACTGATGCTAAATTTGGGCATAAGGTCCTTTAGGTAGTTCCAGTTTGTTCTTTCTGTTATTAAAGTTGGGTGTGTTAGCAATTTGTTTGCTGTGTTGCCCACCCATCAGTTGGACTGCTTTTCCCAATGTTTCTGAATCCTGTGTCCCTCAATGAATGAAAAAGTAATCTGTATTTTAGTACTCACCATAAAATATTTTTCCTGGAAGTTCATTGAGCGACCCGGGTCCCACCCCCAGAGGCGTGTCTACTGCAAGGCCAACTAGGCCTTTGCCTTGGGTGCCACTTTCCAGGGGGGCAGCAAAAAATGCCTCCCCCATACCAGTGAGGTGAAGCCTCACCTGACATTAGGAGAAAAAAAGAATTATCCTTACCTGAATCCACTGACAAGCTCAGCCTCCTCTCCAAAGCTGGCAGAAGTAATACAGCGCGCGCCTGTTACTATTTAAACAGGAGCTTGCTGTATCCAGCTTCTGACAGGATAAGCAAAATGTGCAGCAGGCTTCCCCCACTACGTTAATAGCGCTACCTTTCAGAAGCCGGTTACAGTGTGTGTGTTGTATCTAGTGAATCACAGGTTACACTGGCTGCCAAAGGCAAAAGATCTACCTAATTCACTTCTCAGGCATCCAGGACACGAAGGCTGGCTTCTCCCTAGTCTGCCGACCAGCGTCAGGGGGGGTGTGGCCAGCACCCGGGTGATACCATTGGAGGGGTGACACCAAAATGACCGACAGTCATTTTGGTGTCACCCCCCTCTAAAAAGTTGGACATGACCGAACGCCCGACAGTATCAGGAGAGAGAGGAGGGGACCCGGCGGCATACCTTATCCCGCCGGGTGACTGTCCCCTCCTCTCTCTGCCGGCATCCATCACCAAGATGGCCGCCGGCAGGTATCAGAAGATTGCTGCGCGATTACGTCATCGCGCACACGCGTGGTGACATCACACACATGCGCGGGGGCGAGTCGGCGGGGTGACACCCGTTAACCGCTCCGGGTGTCACCCAGCCTCGGGACGCCCCTGCTGCCGACGTCACGCCCCTCCTCCTTCCTCCTCAGCTTAAGCAGCAAATCTTCACTTGTCCGGCGTACCTGCAATGTTTGTGGATGTCAGACAAGCTCTCTAAACCTCCGTGCCTCCATATGGGCTAAAAGCCTCTCACATCTCTCCCAGGATTACCTGCCTGTTCTCAGGAATACCCTGTGCCCTGAACAGCTTGAACCCTGCCTCAACCATTCAAACTAATAAATCAAGGAAACCAGCTATTGCCTCAAGGGTTTCAGTGCATCTCACTGAAGTCTCCTCTTTCAGCCTGAGTTCTCGATTTCACAGCTAACAGCAAGTATTTCCAGCTATCCTAGCTGATCCATTTCTATTTAAAACCTATTGACTGCTACTTCTGTGATGTGAAGTTAAAACATTACAAAGTTACCATAGCGGATCTAATTCCCTTCACAACTATTGACTGCTACTTCTGTGATGTGAAGTTAAAACATTACAAAGTTACTATAGTGGATCTAGTTCCATTCAAAACTATTGACTGCTACTTCTTTGATGTGAACTAAACATCCAAAACATAAAGTGTGGGACTTGTTTAGGATGTCATCCGCAGCTGAGTTCCATAGCGATCATCAGAGGTATTACAACAAGTGAATAACCCAGCTGAAGTGAAGTGAGCTGAGCGACGTTCGGCTATTCACTCTGGCTCAGTAAGGCTGATTTCAGCCGTACATCTGCTGGAATCAACCGTATATCGGCTGCCTTCAGTCAGCCGAACATGCTCTGCATGTTTTGGCTAAGACGAAGTGCGTCTTTGTTGAAGTGCATCCAACTGGATCAGTTGAGACGGCAAGCTCCGGCAACTCACTCGAGCATTCAGCTCGGCTATTCTGCTCAAGACCTCTGAGGTACTGAGCAGAATAGAAAATAAGTGAGAAGAATAAAAAAATTAATAAAGATGTTTTTTTTAAAAGTTGGTCAGAGCTAGCAGTGACAGCTAGCTCCGCCCAACTGTTTCCTATTGGCGGTCATCTGCCAGAGTCTTCTAGCAGGTCCCGACCAATGAATAACAACTGGGCAGAGCCAGCCATGACATTACCGCCGCATAATGTAGAATCTGACAGATGCCGGCAAAATATAAACATTTGACATCACCGCTAGCTCCGCCCAACTGTTTCCTATTGGCCAGCACCAGATTCTCCGCCTAGTTGTTATTGTTTGATGACAGATCAGCATCCCCAGGTCATTTGGGGACGCTGATCTGTCATTACAACTGGACGGAGCGAACCGTAAGATCTCATATGGCTCCGCCCAGCTGCCACTTGCGTGGAAATTGGTCGGCTTCTGCCGACCTTTCTCCATGCTTCGACTGTCACCTCGGCTCAGTCGAGCCAAAACATATGCCTTCAGCTCGCCTGCCTTCGGCTGCTGTATGGGCTATTGTGAATAGCCCATACAGTAGCCCTTCGGTTCGACTTAACCGAAGGGCAGAGGCTGCCGAAGAGAGCCGAAGTTACGGCTGCATTCTTTGGCTCAATAGTGAATAACCTCCTAAATGTGCAGTGGGCTTTGCGGCTACACTAACAGCGCAACCTGTCAGAAGCTGGATACAGCGCGCACCAGTTTAAATAGTAACAGTATCCCTGAGAGTGAGAGGCTGAGTTCTCTGTTGCCTCTGATGTCTCTCAGAGGCATGGAGGTTTTATTTATTTGTTGTATTGCTCTGTCAGACAAAGGAGCACAGGATTCAGACAGGCACATCCGAAGAGAGGCACAATCCAAAGAGGCTACAGAACAACTGAACGCCGGCCTCATGCATTTGAAGGTTAGGGAGGCTTCTGACACTTATGCAAGGACTGGACATAATATTTATGAAATATAATACAAAGCAAGTGACTTTTTATATGAAATCACACTGGATGACATCCTCTCAGATTCAAAAAGTTGCATTTCAGTTTAAAATATGTATATGTTTGTTTACTTAAATAAAAGTTAAAAATGGTTGAATTTACAGTTTTCATTATTTTATTTAAAGATCTCTTAAAATAATATATACTTAACACTGTTTGAGATGTTCTCAATTCTTTGGACATAACTCTTACAATCAGTTTTTTTTTTTTACTTGGATTGATGTGAAGCCATGTGGCTCATATATTTGGTTTATACTCTTTGTATCCCACCTTTTTGTTCATAAATAAAGAATTTGAAAACAAAAATAATATATACAACGTTTGAAATGGTACACAAAACAACATATAGGCACTCTTTATCCACTTTTAATGTACAGAGAAGAAGAAGAGGTGGAGCTCCAAGAAGAAAAGGGTGGAGTTTACAGATGAAGTAGTGGGTCTTAAACAGGAAGGGGTGGGGCAAATTTAGATTGGGGGGTGCCCGAGTTTAGTCTTGCCTAAGGTAGCACAAAACCAAAATACACCACTGCCCACTCCTCTGTGTTTCTGATCTTTCTCTCTGCACTGCTTGTTACAAAAATGAGGAATGCTGGGAGTGGGAGGGGTTAAACCAGGCGGTCAGAGTTTTTTTGTTTGCCAGTGTCCAAACCCTCCTGTTAAACCCAAGTGTCTCTAAATTCCTTGACCCTCAATGAATTTCCAAGAAAAGGATTTCAAGGCAAATTCAAAAATCCAATCATTTCAGACCTTGTTATTCTTCCCAATTCCAATAAAAAAATTGATTCTATCTGTTACCGGAGAGCAATAAATACCTCTATCTAAAGCACAATAAAAGGTTTTAGCTGTAGTTGGGCTTCAGGTAATATATTGTGTACATGAAATTTACAAATATTCACATATTAAAAATAGTAATGTCACCTAAAACCATACAAACACCATTTTATTTGTCTTTTTTTTAAACAGAGAAATAGCAGTATGTATATGTTGCAGAATGGGAGCATTTCGAATGAAAGCAAAGTACATGGTAATATATGTTGATTTTACTTATATCACAGCTTATTATATATGTCTCTTGCAGATGTCTCTTGAAGTGTAACTGCACCCTAATTGCTGTGTTACCTAAAAAAACCGAAGCTAAAAGCCCCTATTACATACCTATAGCTATAGGTATGTAATAGGGGCTTTTAGCTTCGTTTTGGTTTTATATCTTCTTCCTTGCAGAGGAGGAGGGTTCTAACTAGTTCACTGGAGCATGCAGGTTAAAATGTAAATAAACACACTGCACATTTAAAAAAAAAATATTTGGAATTTGTCAAATATGGGCAGCGATGCCACAGGGAACTCCCTCTTGAGAATTCCATAAGCACTTAAAAGTATTCCAGTGGTGGGAACCCCTCATTGCTTTGAATAGTGTGGATGGGGGACCTGTACTTTTTCTTCTAGGATCCCGGCACTAAAAAAAGCCTGTTGGGGAACACCTTTTCAACATCACCGAAACCTGCAAGGTAAGTGTTAGTAAAATTAGACACAGGAAGTTAATTCTTCAATGGCTGGGTTATGCAGCTACCTTTAGGTAATTTTACTCTCACAAATCAAAACTGTAATAAAGCCACAGATATACTGTATATACAGATAACCCTCCCACTGCCAGCCTACCTCGGTTCTTAGCTGATGGACACCTTCTCTCTGCTCTGAGAGAAGTACATTCTTTGTTGCCCTTCCATTCAGCCTGTTCCTCAAACCTGAGGTCTTTATCAAAATGCTGCCCCCTGTGTTAGCTCTGTTTCAGACTCAGGACATTGCCTTAATGAGTAGGGATAAGCTCGATGGTCGAGTCAAACAAGAGTTCGACTCGAACATCGGCAGTTCATGTGTTCAGCGAATACACAAACTATCAGGGCATTCGGTGGACAGGCATTTGGCGCACCGCACAGTGCCTTGTGAGCCTTGATTGGCTAAAGCCCAGTTATTTATATTTTGCAAGCATCTGTCAGAATGCCATTCTGTGGCGGGAGTTCGTAAGCGGACGGGTCGACGGGCGTCATTTTTTTTCTTTTTGTATTATTATTTCTATTTATTCTTGTTTTATTTTGTCGAGTCGTCGTCGTCGTCGTGGACAACGCTGGACGTCGTGATTGACCCTAGGATTAGGTCGGTGAATCCATTTTTGGGGGGTATTTTTTAAAATAAAAGACTTGTCAAAAACATGTCTTTTTTTAAATTAAATAATTTTTTAAAAATCCTTTAGTGAATGGGTAGAGGTACAAGTACCCCTTACTCATTCACAAGGGGGGCGCATCTGGGAGCCCCTTTATTAAAGGTGTACCCTGATGTGAATAAGACGCCCTGCTCGCACCCCTACAACCAATGCCTCAGGGCTTGCGGGGGCCCTTGTCCCCATCGGCACGTGGACAACGTGCTTTTCCAGGGGTGACCTTTTGCTTTTCCAGGGGCATGTGGCCTGCTATGTCAGGGAGGGGGGGCACTCCATGTTTTTTTTCCCCATTTTTGGGGGTGGGGTTCCTCCTTAAAATTCCAACCAGGCCTTAAGGTCCTGATATGACTTTGAGGAGGAACCCCACACACTTTTTAAAAAAAATTATAACTTGCGGGTCCCTTCTAAAATTCCTAACAGACCTAAAGGGTCTGGCATGAGTTTTGGGGGGAACCCCATGCTTTTTTTTTTGCTTTTTTTTTTAAATGGGGTCCCTCCTAACTTTCCTACCAGACCTAAAGGGTCTGGTATTGTTTGGGAGGGGGAACCGCATGCTTTTTTTTTTTTTTTTCTTTATAAATGTCACTATTTGCTGCAGCAAGTTCTATACATCGTACAGATGCGCCACTTTACAGGCAGTTCAAGGGGACCAGCCAGGCACAATATTTAAAGGATTTTTTTTTATTATTGTTTCACTGTAGGTGATGTTAAAATCACTGCTCCTTTTTTCAAAAGTTTTTTTTTTATTGATACATGTCCACCAGTGCAGTACCGGAATCCCCATACCCTTTTTATGGCCAATAACTTGCATATAAGCCTTCAAAAAGGGAACAATTGATTTTCAAAATTCTGGCCCCATCTTAGGGCCCCAACTTGAACTGGCCCCAGTTCGAGTTCAAACTTTTTCCTTGTTCTAAAGTTCGAATTCGAACCGAACTCGGGTCTGTTCGGCACATCACTAATAATGAGGTACTTGGATGACATCCTCCACAAAGATCAGACAAGCAGGTGCTGTTTTGACCAGCATTTGTTGTCTGATACAAACTCTGCAGAGCTTCTGATGGGTCCTAAACCCCCAGAAGTCATTGCTGAAACCCTCCCATCACTCAGAGTACTTGGACCTGATCATGAACACAGCTATGTCCAGGGTCTTCCATTCCCAGCAAAAGATCCTATCTCTCCACTCTCATGCTCAGACCTGGCAGGCCCGTAGTTGCCATCCATTATCTTTTGCATGAAGGTGCTGGACTTGATGCTGGCCTCCTTCAAGTTTTCTTTGCAGTGCAGGTAATGCATCTGTTTGTCCCACACAGCCAGAATGCTAAGCTCCAATGGCATCTGTGCATTCTGACTACGTGGGAAAAACAGGCTAAGTTCCTGGACTTTCCAGTCTGCTTGCCAAGCAAGGCAAAGCTTGGCCTAACGTCATTAATCTCTAACCCGAAGTTGGATGGGGGAAATCCTTCCTCCCAATGGAATTTAATGTGGTTGCGATAGATGCCAGCATGTCGGACTGGGGAAGAGTCCTGGGGAACCTCTTGGTTCAAGGGATCTGGTCTATGGAGCAATCTCATTTCCCGATCAACTCCTGGAGCTCAGGGCCATTCAGTTGTCCCTTCAATGTTGCCTCCCCCAGTTAAAAGGCCAGCCAACCACACTTCATTTGGATAACACCATGGCCACGGCTTAGGGAGCCAAAAGCCATGTTGCTCAAAAAGAAGCTGACCTGATCCTGGCTTGGGGGAACCTTAATATTTTCCTGTCCACCATGCATATCCCAGGGGTGGAAAATTGGCAATCATCAATGTCTGAATCCTAGAGAATAGTTCCTTCACCTGGAGGTGTTTTGGGACCTTTGTCACAAGTCGGTAATGCTGGACGTGGACATCCTGGTGTCCAGGCTTAACAAAAAGCTGGGCAGATTCCAGGGATCCCTGGGCCTTTTCCATAGATGCCATGGTGACTCTGTGGGATCAGTTTAGCCTGATCTATGCCTTCCCTCCCCTAAAACTCTTGCCTATTCAGGATCAAGATGGAGGGCATTACGGTGTTCCTCATTGCTGTGGCCCATGAAGCCATGGTTACCGGACATAGTTAACCTTGTGGCAGACTCTCTGTGGGAACTTATGTATCATTCATGTCAACTGTCCTTAGGAATGGTATTCCATCCTGCTTGTGTGTTGCTAGCTTTAATGGCATGGCTGTTGTAGCTGAGATATTGAAGGACAAAGGCCTCTTTAAAACTGTTATCCCTATGCTTTGCTTCTGAAAGCCAAGAAGTCAACCTGCTGCAAGGTCTACCATCACACCCGTAGGGCTTATTTCGTTTGGTGCAAAGCAAGGAAGTTTGATCCCAGGAAGTACTCTGTGGGAAGCATCCTATCTTTCCTCCAGACTGGCCTTGATTAGTGTTTAATTTTGAGTCTTGCACCAATACATCCTACAGAGGTTTCTCCCAACTGTTTGGACATGGTTCAGGCTGTTTGAGTTTGCCTTCCATCCACAGCTCTGATTCTCTTAATCATTCCTGAAGGTCCTGTATAGAGAAATTAGCCTCTCATCTCACTATTACCAAGTGGATTTCCAAAAACTATCACTTATGCCTATAATTTGAAGCGTAAAGTTCCCCCCTTTCCAGTTTATACTTTTCTAGAAATGTTAGTATGTGTAACACCTTCCAGTATCAGTCAGGTTGCCCCTCTGTTGAACTGTTTTGGATGTCCCATCCATTGAAAAATTATCACCCTAGGTCCTGTGATGTACGATTAGGAAATAGGATTTTTGTCTTTCATGTATCTCTTTCTTGGAGTACATCACAGGACACTCAACCCTCCCCACTGGTTTCTGTGAACCACTCTTGTACTTGTTGCTTCATAGCTAACGGAAGGTAGCTGCATAACCATTTAAGAATTAGCTCCTTGTGTCCTGTGATGTATTCCTAAAAACAGATTTTACAGGTAAGACAAAAATCCTGTTTAGTATAGAATTTTCAAAATGTATAATGTTTACTTTTATGTTCCCTGAGTGAGTTGTAAAGTGTCCACAGCTCCACAGCTCCAAGCTTGCTCCCACTAAAATCTCATATTTGGTTAGCTAATTTGTATTGTACTTATAGTCTATCATGAGAATGAGCTTAGAGCGGTGGCAAATTTACAACACACATCGGGACCAAAGGGAACAGTCCAATATCAAAGTAAAAAGTGGAAATATATAAGCTGTAACCTTGTATTATCTTTAGTAATAAATTCCGAACTTTGCAAACTTTCAAATGGGATGTTAATCTGTCTCAGAGACTTTGCTGACCAGAGGCAACCTGATTTGCGAATAGTTGTGTTGGTAATTTGCTTGATAAATTATAATGACTTCTGAATCCTTGTTATTTCCAGGCTGGGAAATTGTAACGAACAGCTATAATAAAGGTACTCACCTGGTTTTTAGCTGCGGATGTATGGCATCCGTTGCAATGTATCGGCAAGTTCTTATAGGACATAAAACTGTATTACTTCATACAGTGTCCTTCCACAACAGGGAGGATTCAGCAGTAGTTCAGCAAAAGCTGTAAAGTCTCTGCGTGTATGCACAACACAAGTCTCAACAACTCAGTGGCCCAGTAACATAACGAAGGAGTATTATGCAGGCTCATGCGTTCAAAACGTTCTCTTCACTTGAGTCTAATTAAGCTAAGGAATGTTTTTCAACATTAAGAGTTTATGCATCGGACAGAAATATTCGTGGGGAATCATATACTTGCGGTTCAGATGGTTGAAGCCAGTGTCACACTGTGTTGGATGAGCACTGTGTCAGATGTT